ATTTTTCCTTGAGTCAAAAAGCTATGAGAACAATGAGACTTGATAATTTGTGGATTGCGATGGGTGTTTCTTTGTTTTTCTCTACAAGTCAACAATCTTCTGGAAAACACACCCCTTAATGGCGGTACATATGCAATCATAACCTATAAATTAATTGACAAATTTAATTGGGGGTTGTGAACCTTTCTGCAATGGGTGTTTCTTTGTTTCTCTCTCTAGTATCTGGCATTTGGCATTTAACCAAATTTACAGAGAGAGATATAGAGATTGAGAAAAAGGAGAAGAAGAAGAAGAAAAGAGAGAGAAGTAGAAGAAGAAAGAGAAAGAAAATTGAAAAAAGAAAGAGAGGGAGAGAGACAGAGAGAAGAAGAAGAAGAGAGAGCGCGAGGCAACCGAGAGAACAAAATAGAGAAGAATAAAAAAATAAAAGGGTGGATACATTCCTCCTCTCGTTTTTGCCTTTCCATTCGTTGTTTTTGTTTTTTTGTCCGTTCTTTCTCACTTTGAAACCAAATATTGACACAATTGTTTCATTCTCTCTCCTGTTTCATTTTTCCATTCTCACTCTCATACTTCTCTCACAATTGTTTCATTCACTTTTCTTTTTTCTTTTTTCCTTCTCTTGCTTTTTCTCAATTTTTCTTTCTACTCTTTTTTTCTGTCATTTTTCTCTCTTTGAAACCAATTGTCACTGTTTGTTTGATACCTATGTTTTCTTTATAATTGACATGCTCCAATAAGAAAAAATACTTTAAGCAAATAATACCTTATTATTAAGAAAAATTTAAAAGAACTCTTGAAATATAAAAGTTCTACAAATTACTTGTCCTTGCAGCATCTCTTTCATTCAAATTCATCTTTGTAAGAAAAATTATATATATAAAAAACCTAAAAGATTCACATGTCCTCGTGTTTATTCGCATAGTCTAGACTCAAGTGCAAGATGTTCCATATTCATTACTGTAGTATGAAGCCCACGTTTGCACTTCCAGGTAATTTTTAGCTTGTTAAAGGAAAAATGAATATCATAATGTGTTACTTCAATTTTCCTGTCAATAAATTAACACACATATATACATCAATATTACCTATGGAGAAGGAACTCTCATCTGTATTAGATAAATTTGAATTTGCATCATCGCATCTACATCAAAGGAAAACAATAATTAAGACGATTGATGCAATATTCATATATAAAAAATTTGAATAATAATTACACACTCACCCATTTTTTAGCATTGGACAATTTCTTTTCTCATGTGATTGCCCAATTTTTCCGCATCCATGACAGCGCCTACTCTTACTCTTTCCCTTCTCTTTTCCTCTTTTTAGCCTTTTTCCACAACCTTTTGCTCTAACAGGAAGTGGTTCATTAAACTTGTGTGCTTGAGTAGTAGTACATTTTTTAGGAACTCCACTTGTAGCATAAACTATAGGTTTGATCTCCTGAAGCGCATTTTGTAATTTTTTTGCTACGATGTCACTTGCTTTTTCGTTTGTCATAGCTTTATCAATTACATATGAAGCAAGTTGAAACAATCTAGTTCGTCTCACAAGAAATGATTTTTCAGAAAAATCATTTAATTCTAGACCGTCATCATCAAAAACTCTCTCTAAATTTTCTGTTTTAGTCCATCTCTTCAAGATATATTGATGTGGCAAATAAGTGAACCGCATAGTATTCTATATATATAAAAAACCTAAAAGATTCACATGTCCTCGTGTTTATTCGCATAGTCTAGACTCAAGTGCAAGATGTCCTATATTCATGACTGTAGTATGAAGCCCACGTTTGCACTTCCAGGTAATTTTTAGCCTGTTAAAGGAAAAATGAATATCATAATGTGCTACTTCAATTTTCCTGTCAATAAATTAACACACATATATACATCAATATTACCTATGGAGAAGGAACTCTCATCTGTATCAGATAAATTTGAATTTGCATCATCGCATCTACATCAAAGGAAAACAATAATTAAGACGATTGATGCAATATTCATATATAAAAAATTTGAATAATAATTACACACTCACCCATTTTTTAGCATTGGACAATTTCTTTTCTCATGTGATTGCCCAATTTTTCCGCATCCATGACAGCGCCTACTCTTACTCTTTCCCTTCTCTTTTCCTCTTTTTAGCCTTTTTCCACAACCTTTTGCTCTAACAGGAAGTGGTTCATTAAACTTGTGTGCTCGAGTAGTACTACATTTTTCAGGAACTCCACTTGTAGCATCAACTATAGGTTTGATCTCCTCAAGCGCATTTTGTAATTTTTTTGCTACGATGTCACTTGCTTTTTCGTTTGTCATAGCTTTATCAATTACATCTAAAGCAAGTTGAAACAATCTAGTTCGTCTCACAAGAAATGATTTTTCAGAAAAATCATTTAATTCCAAACCGTCATCATCAAAAACTCTCTCTAAATTTTCTGTTTTAGTCCATCTCTTCAAGATGTATTGATGTGGCAAATAAGTGAACCGCATCGTATTAAAAAATGCCAAGATGTGTCTACATGTGATTCCTTGACTCTCAAATTTTTTGCAACTACACGAAGCAAAATCCAATTCTTTTTCATGAACAATGGCTTTTGTCATTGCTGGATCTTGATCAGTAATAATCATTTTTGGGGAACCTCCAGGCATGGCTTTCTTAAATTGTTCAAATAGCCAAAGAAAAGAATTAGTTGTCTCATCACTTAGGAATGAACAAGCAAACACTGTTGTTTGACCATGATTATTGACCCCTACAAATGGTGTAAATATCATACCATACCGATTAGTGTTATAAGTACTATCAAACACAACCACATCTCCAAAAAACGTGTACGCCTTCCTTGATTTTGTGTTAGCCCAAAAACAATGAGTAATTCTATCTTCTTCATCTGCCTCAATCTTAAAAGTGAAGGACGGATTCTTTTTGTGCTCTAGCTGGAAATGCTCATACAACATATCTGCATCATGTCCCTTCAACCCATTACGCAAATTCCTTTCATTATTGTAAATATCCTTCTCTAGACATCCAACATTTTCTATCCCCCCAACTTGCATTTCAAGAAGGCTAAATTGTTGATGTGTAGGTATATTTGCTGCTGAAAATAGTTGGGTTATACACTTATGAGAATTTGAAACTGTACGATGAGACCTTAACAAGTGTACTCTTTTAGGACTTGTTAATGGGTGGTTGTGACCCTCCACAAATAGGCTGACTACATAGGTTCCCGATTTCGACTTCACCACAGCTAGCTTTGCCTTAAGACCTTCTCGAGTAATACCTCTACGCCTTTTTTTCTCACCAACTCCTTTAGCGGGCACTCCTTCTTTAGAACACACATACTCCTTTCGTAGGATTTCATTAGTTTCTTTATTCTTCCTACTAGAATTGATT